GTTTCTTGTGATTTAAAGAAGTTGAAAAATATCCATATGACACTTTGAAACTGATAAGGCATATGTTAAACCTGAAGCTCAATAATGATGACAAGTCTGAGGAGAAGATGGACAAAAGGGATAGATAGCTAATTCTCAGAGCATTAGATGTTATTCAACACAAGTTGAGTTTTAGAAATGATTTGAGAAGAATTGGAACTCATATTGGTCTTCAGAATAAGTTGAAATGGAATGTTGTCATTCAAAAGGAGAAGAATGTCAGATCTAGATTTTGTATTCAAGTTTAGAGCTTAAAGTGTAAATACCTTTGTGGTATAAATAGTTTTGTTTACTTTTATTCTTTAAGTCTCTTGTTCATTTTTACAAGTATTGTACTTCCACGAAATAACAATCACCAGAGTTCTTGGTTTTTATTAAAAGCTTTTAAGATACAACCAGATTAAAACTTAAATGAAAATTGATTAAACAAAAACCAACAACCCTCCCATTTATATTTCAAATCACCACTCTTTGGAATTCCCGAATAGGATATCACAAAATCATTTGAAAACACAGGCAATTAATGCCTCCGGCTATAAGCCATTTTCCCCTTCTCAATAACATCTTTGTTATCATATCAATAGAGCAATATTCCCAAGACTTCATATCACAAAGAAATGTTGACTCAGAATTATCGGATCTTACGATGTGACAACAAGAGCTATAATAGTAACCACACACACAAATGTCACCCTTATCCAAATGTGCATCTCTCCTTGATATGTCACCTTTATCCCATGGTACACCTCTCCTTATTATGTCACCCTTGTTTCCACCTAAAATCTACAGATAAATCTGTAGTTTTAGCCAATAATGGCCTCAAAATAGTTTCATATCAGAAACTTTATCTCAAGAACTCTCATAGTTCTTAAATTCACTTTTCAATCTCACCTCAATATTTTTTTCAAAAACATATTTCTTATCACTACAGTTTTGAAAGAAGTAACAGTATATTTTCTCAATTTTAATCAACATTTGAAAGATACAAATTTCCCTTTTTATCATAAAACAATCTTGAAACCGTTACACAACATTTTGGAAAACAACTGTTTTCATTAAATAAGTCTTGGGCGATATCTGCCCCTCGCTGGAGGTCCCATTCCTCACGTTACCATTGTCCCCAAACTTCACTCTTTCGAGGAAATTCTTCTAATAATTCATGTAGAAAGGTGAGGTATTTTATCGGCCAATACTATGACCGATAACCCTTCCTCATCAGTAAACATTATAAACCGCACAACACTTCGAGAGATAAACACACTCACCGGTCACATTGTCCGATAACTCATCTCACCGGTCAACACTCTGTTTGGATACATTCTCATCGGACAACACTGTGTCTGATAACCGATCTGACCAGTCAATACTTAAAAGTTTAGCATTTCAATCCGGAAATCACCTTGTCCGATGAGCATCCTCACCGGACAAGGCTTTGAACTATAATCTCAATCCGGTTAACACTTTAGAGTCTCAAATATTAAACCGTTCAACACTTTGGGCAATGAGGTGCCCTATTCGAACAACTCTATATCTGATAAAGTCCTCAACGGATGGTGAACAAAATACATAACTTGTTAGCTCTCATATTTCATTTAATGTAAAAGTATGAAAAAGTATTACTACGAGTGTTGACAGAAGGGTTCATTCCACAGAAGACCACTGAGGACCAACAACATAAGATGATCATTCGTACAAGTCAAGATTGACAGAACCTCTGTTGTCTCTCACAGAGGTTCTGGAAAATGGTTCTCTGTTATCAAGAGGTTACAAGTCATATGCAGCAGAGCCTCTGGGATGGATCACAGAGGGTCTGCGGTTCATCTTCTGTGGAGAACCTCTTCTTACTATTTTACTTAGGTTAGTTAGATGCACGTGCTTCTCACGTGACTATGTTTGCAATCGACTTTATTTGGACGGCTTGGATGATTTCACTTGTCTAGGTCATGTCAAAAAGGTCGTTAGGAACTAGTATAAATAGCAGCTTAGGCCTTTGTAATTCAGTGTGCTTCCCGTATTGTGTAATAACCCGAAAGAAAATAAAATAAAGAAAAGAAATATTTTTTGGTGGTTTCAAGTATTGGGTATATAATTGCAAGAAAGTGAAGGGTTAGACACTTAATTAGAAGACAAGTCAATCATCCATGTAACCACCGATCATTTACTCTTGGGTTGATTGGTATGCTTTGAAATGGTCAATAGGCACATATAAAAAGGATGCTAATGAGTAGCCAAAAAAAAAAAGGAAGTCGATTTAGAAGGAGAGCTAGTGGAGTCCAAAAGGAAGACTAAGGTTCGCGGTGACGCATCTAGTTTTACATCAATCGGTAAATGTTTCGTACCCGTTGTCTAAATTTTAATTTAATCACTTTAGTCGTTCGATCGTTCGGGTGGGTTCCCGTAGGGCAATGGTGGTCAACAGTCACCACTAGCACCTCCACCATCCTTCACAATGGTAATATCCATGACATTGGGTTATCAAAACCCATTCCCTCGTCTTGGTACCGAGAGTTAGAACCTATTGGTTCATGCAAGCGTCGGTAAAAAAAA